ATTTAGGCAATGTTTATCAGAGTCCATCCAACCAAGATCAAGTTAATTTTTATTAAACATAAACCGTTCGACATTCTTTGTTAAAGTTTCAGCGGAAACTGTGTTTCCACTTAATCATAATTCGCGAATATTTTCTCGTTCCAGTAAAGCTTACAAACAGACGAAAGAGAAATTGAACATGACATTAAAAGAGAACGAAGTGATCATCCTAACAGTCTTGTACACCATCACAATGCTCGTAGCATTTGCAGGGAATGGTTTCCTCATCTACATCGTGTGGAAAAAACCTGAAGTAAGATCACTAACAAGCTTCATGTTCGTCAACATGGCCATCGCCGATTTGCTGGTGGCATTGATTGTGATGCCCTGGTCGATTGCCCACATCCATACAGACGGATTGTGGATGATACCGGGTGTATTTGGAGAAGTCATGTGCAAAGGTGTAGTATACATTGCCTATGCTACATTAACAGCGTCCATCCTCTGCCTGACAGTCATAGCAATGGACAGGTACTGTACCATAGTTCATCCCCTCCGCCGCAATCTTTGGTTCCGAAAGCCTAAACTGACTGTACCATTTAATTGGATCTTTTCGCTGGCTTTGATGTCCATTTTTCCAGCTATTCAAACCGTGGAGGAAATAGGTAAACTTTCCGTGTGCTCGTTATCCGTTTATATTTTGGGTGATCCATATATGGCTATCCGAGGGCTATTCCTCTACCTTGTGATTCTCAACTATCTGATCCCTTTGAGCGTTATTTCATTTCTGTATATTATCACTGCAAGGAAGTTATGGTTTCATGCTGCACCTCGAAATGAACATTCGACTGAAAATCGAGAGCAACAGGAAACTTTAAAGAGGAGAGTGGTTTGGATGCTCATCATAGTTACCTCCACTTTTGCCCTTTGTTGGCTCCCACCACAGGTGATCCATCTGATGTATGTCGTGCAAGCATGGAATATTGAGGTTAATCTTCAGCCAAATGTCACGGTTGTTTGTATATTGGCTTTCATCCGAACCTTCTTAACACTAATAAGTCCAGACAGATAGATACTAAATTGATACATATTTTGTATAGGTAATCACATGATTTCGAGCGCAATTTGGAATAAATAAGCACGAATAAATTTTTTCAAAGACTAACAAAATTTGTTGTCTTCGAAAAAATTAACAAGTGCTTATTTACTCCACATTGCACGAGAAAAATCATGTGATTACGTATTAATAATATACATGAAAAAATACAAGATAGCTCATCATAATTATGCAGAAGCAAAGCGTGCGCTTCAAGTGTAAAGTGAAGTGTTTGGTCAAAACAACCGCGTACGATCAAAACAATAATACACAATGATGTTTTCACATCTTTAAGGCGCAAAACAGTGCAAGGGATTGTTCAGTCTGTGTCCGAATCACTTTCAATGAAATGGGATCGTCGTTTGCGAGGTTTAACTATGTTTGTTTTTAGTTTCGGTGTAGAATCGCTCGAGTTATTGCAAAATTGCAAAAATTTTTTCCCAAAAGAAACGTTTTTGATCGACTTGTAAGTGTAACTGAATAATTGTATCAGACGTTATAATTTGTATATCTTGGAAAAAGAGGAAATAAATTCGTTGATGGCTTGTGCTAACAACAGCAATTCCTAATTTCACGTTTTCAACATCTTCGTGGATGAGACGAAAGAGGTAAGAACTGAAACGTGCCACACAAGGCACAGTTCAGTGTGACACTGATGTGAGTTATTACTGAAGTGACCCACGACAATACTTATTTGCTTAAATATTTGTGACATCAACGAGAAGTCTGTCCTCCAATTGAACATGAGTAAGAACTCATCAAAATGAATGTGATTCATCTTGTTATACAAAGCTATGGTGGAGTATAGCGAGTGTTTATCAGACGTATAACTTAACAGAAAAAGCAGTCAGACATAGAAGTCTTTCTCGTATTGTCGCTTCTTTTGTACCTATGCCCTATGGAAAAGATCGCCTTGCTGGCTTTACGACCCTGGTCGAATTTATGAATGAAAGGGAGGTAGATGTTTACGAAAATATTTTCAAATTTCAGTTATTTCTACTAATCATTACGGAAATGCCAGTTGATGGAGAAATTAGATGAAGCTTCTTTAACTAAAAAAAAAGGAGATAACTGAATGAAATTGAAAGAAAATCCGTGAGGAAGTTTATGGGTATTACCAATCAAGCTTTCAGAACAGGGAATAGTTTTGTAAATATCAGCATTCGGACGGGTTTAACCTTAAGGACGAGGTTAGCCATGCTTGCGGAAGTCCTGGAGTTGGTTACATCACCTACAACCATTCCATTTGAGACCTGATATGTTAATGGTTGTTTTTTTTTTTTTTTTACTATCGGCTTGATGCGTTTAATAGTCGCGACGATGAAATTATCTTTTATCTGGTTTTAGCATGAAAAGTAAGACAAGTGCATTGTGTCTGATCAGTTTCTCTACTCACCAAACCTCTATAACTTTCGAAATAACAAATGTCACTTTTTTAACGGGCATCTAACTGTGGCATCATTTTTTGTTCCGAGTGAGTTGAGAAGTGATTTGGCCTCTGAAAAATTCAAGCGCTTGAAAGCGAGACGTCTTGGAAACTTCAAATTTATTAAACATTAAAATATAAGGAATTTGGATCAAATGGATCTGTTAATGATGCATGACACAATTTCACTTAAGCTAAATGTCTCTCTAAGTGTTGTCTTGTTTCCTATCAGATCCATCACATATAATTACAGATGCCCGTGAAGAGTCTTACGTATGATCATTGCTACGATCGACGGTGGACTGTTGTTGGTTGTCTATCGTCAACAGAATTTAGGTAGGTCACCATCTATTATTTTAAGAATAGATAGATCAATGGATTTCTTTTTGAAGTCTCTGAAAGCGAAATGTCTGTCGTTTCAGCTAACGATCAGACTGCTAGAGATCGCAGCCCTGTGCATGGTTTGCGCGGTTTTGTCTGTTTTCGTGAGAGTCGTTAAGTTACCTGTGTTGTTAATCCCGTGTCATTTCAACACTGCACGGTCGCAGCTCATGCTATTTTAAACCAATTTTGTGTGTCTTATTGAGTTACTAGAAGCTAGAAGCCCCTCCAGTTTCGTTTTCCAAAGCACGGTGATCCAAAATCCGCAACTCAGAGCAGCCCTTCCGCAACAAATTCCGCCGGGTTGCCAATAAACTAACCACACAGTTACAAGGGTATCTTGCTCGAATCTCCAACTGAAAATGTACACAGACTGCGAGGGATTTCTGGGTCAGTTTTGTTATCATCTACGTTGGCATTGTCGCTTGATACAAGCGCTTTTCCTTCGCACGGTTCAATCGTACCTGCAACTTCCAGACATAAATTATTTGCTCTCAGTTCATCAGTTCAGGAGCATTTCGAGGTTAACCACAACAAAATTGCATTAGACATACAAGATGTGCACGCGTCAACAAAGACTTTTAGCTCTTTTGAAATTTCTCTTTTATCGCACTAAACTGGTTTTTACATATGATAAGATAAAAAGGAGCGGGATAAATATTAATACCCCTTAGAGGCGATTAAGACTCCATTTCGACATGATTGTCGATGTACATGCGTATTGTTTATTTGCGGTTTGCTCAGCCATCATGTTACATGAGATAAGCGTCAATTCGTTTATCGAGCTCCACTGACTATCACACAGTATTTTTAAAACTTAAGCTCTCATTTTTGCTATCATTTTCAACTGAACAAACAAGGCAGACTCAGAGCTCTATGCCAAAATACACTGAACCTGATTCAGTTGTGGATGGTAAGTGATGTAAGCTTCATTCGCCTGATGCAATTTGATCTAATCATTAACTTCATGAGCCGTAGTTTAGTCTCTTGATGATTTGCATACCACGAGCTTCTTTTGTGTGAAAATGAAAATGTAGCAAACGATAGTTGAAATATGGTTTAGTTTCTCAGCCAAATTTTCTTGCCATGAGGTCTACTTCCTAGATTAAGCTAATACTGCAATAATTCCTCAACCATACAAATGCTACATTCTAGAGAACGATTCACGTGCCGCTCTAACTATGGAGACTTGAAATCGCCTTGGTTTAGCTCAGCTGGTGTTAATAGAGTTTTTCCAAGTTTATTCCAACACTCAGGCCTGTTCCGAACGTCGTGCTACTGCCGTGCCGAACTCAAATGAAATAGTAATTTCGATTTAAGCACGGCAGTAGCATGCCGTTTGAAACCATTAAGCGCGGCACGGCTGAATTAGGTTCGGCACGACTACTTTTAAGTTCTTTCCACCGCACGGCAGTAGCACGACTTGATTTCAAACGTTGTGCTACTGTCGCGCCGAACTCAATTCATAAATTAATTTAACGTATTTTGCATTATTTGCATGCTATTACGCATGCGCACTAATAAAAAAAAAAGACAAATGGCGTCGTGGCGCAAAAATCTACCCGTTTTGCCCGCTTGAGAGAAGAGGAATCCGACGGTGACAATAGCTCCGCCGACGTTTCCCGAACTTTTTGAAAAAGATATTCAACTGCATCATTCGACAGCTATTCTCCAGATAACGACAAAGAGACTGATTCAAACGAATCCGACACAAGAGTCAGTGAACAGAGTGAGGTGTGCAGCTCGAGGAAAAAGAAGCGAAAGGGACGGAGAAGCGTATGGGAAGAGCGACATGTGAATGATTTAGTAGATGTGATATGTAGTAGCGAGTACTATAAGAAGAAGTTGATTTTCACGAACACGAAAAATTCGAAGAGCGCAGAAATATATGCTAATGTGCTCAAAGATTTGGGCCAGAGATATGAAGATGGTAGCTTCCCGTTTAGCGTAGATCAGCTCAGGAACAAGTTTAAGAAATGCATATCTGAGTGCAAAAAAATTGCATTGACTGTCAAGACCTCGACGGGCGTAAAAAGGGTTCAAGATGAAAAGCAGCTGGGAGCCTGGTTTAATCAATTATTTCCATTGGTCCAAACAAGGGATTCATGTAACTCTAACATGGCAGTAGAGTCTTCTTCATCACTGCAATTGTCGGATGGGGAGCCACTGAAAAGAGCATCAGATAACAGAACCCCCACTGATGAGCAATCAAGTGACGGTCTTGACCAAGGTGACGACTCTGACAAGAAACAATTTGTGCATATAAGGAAGGGTAGAAGAAAGAAAGTCAAATCTCAGAACTCTTCTAGCGCTTTGTCCACTGCTGTGGAGCTTTTTGAAAAAGTGGTTAATAATGACCCAACAACACAGCTGATGCATTTTTTCAAAGAGGAAAATCAGCGAGCTCGTGAGCATGAATTAAAGTTAATGGAACTCTTCATGTCACAAAGACAGCCCGCAGTTAGTTATTCTGCAGGTTCATCCTCTATCATTTTCCCAGGAAGAAGCCCCAGCCCATTTGCAGGATCTAGTCATTGTGCAGGTTCATCCTCTATGATTTCCCCAGAAAGAAGCCCCAGTTCATTTGCATACACAGCTCAAGATTTACTCTACAAGGAACTTCGACAGTGCCAGTTCTCAGAGAGTGAAGGGAAAAGGTATCACCAGTTGTAGATTAATGTGGAACAGAGTGGACATTAATGTTGATATTTCTTGTATATTTCCTGACTTTATCCATGATCATCAATATGAGGGATGATTAATGTTTGTACTCCATTTAACTAGTACCACAGTTCAAGTTTATAACTTTTTGAATTTTTAAAAATTGCCGCTTCTCTTGGTTAGAACTTTCACACTTTAAATTTTAAAGTACAGTCAATCTCATGATTGAACCGTTGCGTTTCTCTGTGACAAAATGGTGCATTATGAAGGAATAAACAGACAATTTACATCCAGTTCATTTCAAAGGGAAAATGGTTCTTATTTTTTCATCAACAACATAACAAACATCAAATACATTCAGTGGAAAAGAAAACAAAACATTATCTTTTTTAACAAGCAACTCAGCCATTGTTATAGCCAATTGAAAATTTCATGAGGTATGTGACAATAGACTCTGTAGCAAAAGGAAACATTATTATAACATAGCGCGCGTGCTTGCCCTGTATAAGTCCTATTGAGCCGCTATGAACAAAATTTTTATTTACGCACGCCGGTAAATAAGATGACGTGAGCATTTTTTTGACCTGGATTCAGAGTTTCCGTCCTGTTAAGCTGCGGTGCAGTTTTCCTTCTCTTAGAAATATGGAAGAAACCAGCGAAGAACTACCAAATTTTTCTATCGGCATTGACCTTTTAGGTCCTGATCCAACAAGCAACAAAAATAAAGCCGAAAAAAACTCGCAAGTTGCACGTTTCGCAAATTTGTCGGAAGACCAGCTGTAGCAAATCTTGGCCGAAAGACATTCAATGGGAACAAAAAAAAGTCACCAATTCGTCATTAACAACATATAAAGGTAAAATTTCCCTTTTTATTGTTGTTTTTAAATTTGTTCAATCTGGGAAATTTCGCACTATATCACAATAAAAGGCTTCTTCTCGCAGATCCTTGTTGTCGCTCTGTTATAAAAGAATTTGCTCATGCATTTAGCTGTGCGTATATCAAGTTATGGATGCACTTAAGAAGTTTGGAGTGCACTCAAAAAGCTAGAGTTGCTCTCGGCTGCGCCTCAAGCTACTCTTACGCATTTTCCGTGCTCTCCAAACTTCCCGCGTGCATCCATAACCCGATATACGCACGCTAAGCATGAACAAATTCTTAAAGAATAAGGAAAGTGACTCTACGCTAATCTACAATTTTTAGACACTTGAGCCAACACCATAACATTAAAAAAATGAAACCAGCTTGCATGAGTAATTATGAACTGGTATCATAACAAGTGAAAATATCAAGACAAATCATGTTTTCTTGTTGATTATGCACCAGTTCACCTCCAATTCCTAAACTATTATGACAACACAACATGTCCAACGTATCTCACTTTACTAATCCCAAAGTGAATTTGACAAAGAGGGGACTATTCAACAGACCCCATGCTCTTCTTTCTCTCTCAAAAACTTATCAGATAGACAGTTACGAATTAAAGTGGCTTGGTGACATGAATCTCGAACTGGTGGACTTCGAACCATTTGCAACAGGTTTCTTGCGACTTCCCTGTCTCTTCTCTCTCCAGTCGCAGGATCAATTGTTAAATCCATTTTTCTTTACATTGAGTCCCCATGATTTATGCATATGTTGTGTAGTACGATACAAGCCATTGTTACAGTTCGCACATTCTTCTGACTACATTAATTCCTTCGAAATAGAACTCGCCATCGCCTCTTGAGCTGACCGTACGCCCCCTCACTCACCATCCTTGCTCTACTTAGGCGGTAGTTAAGTATTTCTGTTTTTCAGTAAGGACCACAGTGCATTATTTTTTGTCGAACTAATAGAACAAACTGACCAATTCACAAAGAAGTAAAATGACATACGTAGAACATAATTTCGTCTTAAAAAGTCTCCTTTTTGATCTTCAATTTGATCTTGAATTTCCCCACGCAAGGAGGGTTTCCTTTGTTTGTTTATTTTTTTGTTTCTCAAGTTTATGAATTAAAATTACTGGGAAGGCTTGCTTCGAAGCCAAATAGCCTCTAAACGGTTTTCATAAGTTTGACCTCTTGCCTACTTGAGCACCAATTAGTTTTTTTGTGACTTTGAAAGCGGAAGACACAAGCCCGTGTTCTACGTGCCTTGAGTATTGATATCAGCCTGCCTGGCTGTTAAGGAGAGATGCGTACGAGACCCGCATTAATATTCATAGCAAATCATTTTGAAATGGTTAAAAAAAGAAGTGATCAAGATTAAGCTCAGTAGTTCATCAGGGTTCGTCAGTCTCGAGCCACTGAATTTTCAAACCGTTGGACTGGGGTAGCAACCTTGTCGATATTGCCTAAAGGTATACCGTGTTTCTTATTTTAGGTCAACCTGAAAAAACGCTAAGATCAGTGCAGTTGAAATGTAATTTTTATTATTTTATCTTTCTGTAGTACTAAGAGGTTACAAGTTTATAAGCTGGCAGCGGTCTTCAGTGCATTCTATCCGCAGGTACGTCGAATTTCAACGCTTTCTAACTTACAATAACTTGGAGGGAAACAAGTTGACGTTGTAAGGCGGATATATAGGCAAATTGATTTTCTGCCTCCAAACTAAAACTAATGATGTTTCAGTCCATCAAAAATTGTTATATACATGCGCCAACGGTGTCTCCAATAAGATATCATACGTTATCTTCATTCATTATTTTCATTCTACCGGAAATTAAATTGCGAATGAAAGATTAGTGAAAACGAATATGCTATCGCGATCGTTTCTCTCTGATAACTTGTGTTATTAGTATAATACGAACAAATGAAGGAACCGGGCAGAAAATTGAAAAAAGATATTTCTGAAAGTTATCTTTTTTTATCGGGACAGTCCGACGTTGAAGAAGTGCACTAGTTTTCTGAATGAACATGACAAACAAGCAACGCTTTCGTCATAAAAGCAAACCAACAACAAAGACCAGTAAATATTTATTTTAAGGTTGAGAATACTTAATGCTTCTATACAAAAATGCTTAACCATCACTTCAATGCTTAGATTTTTCACGTATCACAAGGTTATTTATGGAGAAAATAAAAATGTCCTGCTGCATTCCTTTTCCTGTTTCCAGTATTTCCGTTCCTGTTCACGGCTTCAGTGACGTCCTGAAATATCATCGATTTAACAAATGTGACCTTGGTATCGGAAGTCCTCGATATGATTGCAATTTTGCAAGCGCAAAGAGCTATAGCCCTGGAAAGTTTCATCGAAAATCCCTAATCTAACATTTCCATTTGAAAACTAAGACCTGAAACTTTGGAGATTCTACTGGAATGTAGAATCAATCAGTTACGTGTGGCCTGTAAATTGGTCACCGACTTCGAGGTGGCGTTGATAAAGAAACTCTGGCAATGTTCCGTGCTTAGCCGTACCCTACGTATAGCCGTAACCTCCCTTCCCCCCACCCTGGGGAAGGGGGCCCTGCGATATTTCAATTGGTTTTTCACGCATTTCTCTCGATAACATTTGCGTTTAGCGGCTATTCGAGATCAGTGGAGGCGCTTAATCGAAAAGAAACCGGAACCCAAATAGGTCAAATAGGAAAAACCGAAAAATGCATCGGATATCAAATCCGGAAACCCGTTAATCAATAAACTCAATCTATTCACTGGCAATTCATCAGCTTTTTTATAGGAAGATCAAACTATAACTACATAACTATAAATGTAACTGTGAACAACACTATATTAAAAAGCTGCTTTCCCTGAATCGCGGCCATAGCTCAGAGAGCTTTGCTGATTGCACGGTTGAACGACACGAGGGATTCCGCGCACCTAGCCTCGCAAGAAAGGCTATTCCACAATGTGGTGCCACGTTAACTTGAACTATTTTTCAAATAATTTGTGCATGGTAGTCGAACATTATGTTTATTGTTGGAGTCCTTCAGGTTGTTTCTTGTATCGTGCTCAGAGAATTTCCATGCTAAATAGTATAAATCATTTCTGTTCGTATATAAACGAGTATTGATTAACGCTAATACACGATTTCAAGTAACCCTGACGTTTTCATCCTTCTTGTTGAGAGTGTTTAAAGGCAAAGTTTTAGTACATGGTAAAGAAATGCTAAAATAAGAACAGCTGGGACCAGAGTGTTTGTAAAGTCTACACTAGTAAATGTAAGCTAACAAAATTTGTGATAAAGAGATGTACTTACCATTATCGTTGATTTTCAGTCTTGATCAACTGTTAGTCCGTGAAAGCGTGTTGTAAAAGCGTCCTTAGCAACAATATGTAGTAATGTTTCTGTGGGGGATTCTCTATCCCTCGACTTCTCATTAGTCTACAACTGCGTGGCATGTCATTGTACGGGATACAAACCACTGTCTATCCTTTTGTGAATACCAGTTTTTACTGTGCTAACATACAAGTCAAACATTCTTGAGCCAAATCGTTTTACTTGGGGCCCACTTAGGTCACTCGGACTTCAGCTCACGACCCAAATTGTAAAACCCGGAATTTTTTTAAGAATATACACAATGTGATGCGTAACACCCCTTGCGGGACACCTTTTCTGGTACTGGCGTGACACTCGTGCGCGATTATTTACCTACTGTGATAACTGTCAGAAGCGTTGCGTGATTTTGTGACGTAAACAATATTTCAAACCATGTAGGTAAAAATCCGGCTTTCTCATTGTTTTCTTTGCTGCAATTTCATTAGTTAGGCCCTAAATAAGCGTGTTTCTAGTACTCTTCCTAGAAATTCTTTTAGAATGATTTTGGTTAGATTTTTCTCATTTTTCGCTCATTCATGCTGAAAGCAAAGAATGAGGTATTGCGGTGAAGCAGATGTTGACGGAAGTTGTATTCCGTAGACGGAAGTTGTATTCCGTAGACGGAAGTTGTATTCCGTAGACGGAAGTTGCATTGCGGACTGTAAACGGAAGTAGTCTCGCATGCTACCCCTCCCCACTTAATGAAAGTCAAAATCAATTTCGATGAGCTCAGAAACTCACGTGGAAAGAATTAAAACGTTTTTATGGGTTAATAAAATTAATAACCTCAAATCACATTTCCGAACTTCTAAAATGCAACTTGATTCGAGAAGCCGAAATGTTCACACCCGTAGCGGGTTCATTTCAACACACGCTGTGACCACGCAAAAGAGCATCAGGGGCAGTCATATTGGTCAGCCGTGCATTTGCATTCGTCTTCAGTTAGTATAAAGTAATCATTGCTCTATCATTGTGCTTGTCCTCGGGAGCTCTTCGACATACAGTTCACACATCAATCACAGCGGCCAAGATACTTTAAAATTTTTTTTTCGAGCTTCAATATTTCGGTCTGGACTTGAGGCTCGCTCGAACAAAAACAGCAACACCAATCCGGTCAGTACAAAATACAGACTGTAGACTGCAGGCTGCAGACCGGATACAAAGTGCAGACTACAGACTGCAGACTGGGCACAAATTGCAGACTGAGAATTTATACTGTTTTTTCGTCTGGCACGTGATAACATGTCATCTTGCAACTTACCGAGCGTCACGCAATCGCTTTCCGCGATCATCTTTCACAATTATTTGCACAGTTGTGGAGTATTCCTTGCCCGCGTCTTGATCACAATCGTTCTTAATATAATTTCAAGCCATCATGTAGTCTTCTCACTTTGCGCGCGAGTTGGTTGGTGTGATGTCTTCACAGAATTTACCAAGTTAATTAAAGTAGATGTAGATATAAGTGTAAATGAGATGTCACTATTGAATATTTAACACACGCAAAATTCGAGAAACCATTGACAGCTTTGCACGTGGTCCGTTCGTTTCATCTTTTCAACCGAAATGTGTTCATTTTGTTGACAAAAATGCGGACCAAGACCAAGATTGTTTCTTCGACTTGATATATTATCAACATTCAAGGGTATACACACTCTGATTTTCACATATGTGCCTTATATTGTTATTAGCTTACATGATGAACCGGCGAATTTTAATAGGGAAAAGCGTAGCGTTGCGCATGCTTTCGTGACTGCCCATTTGTTTACTTTTCTGGTGGTTTTATCTCTTGTCTGTTTGGTGACTAGGCAAATATTGTTATGTGAAAATCAGACTATACGGAACGATTGTGGCTGCTTTGGTAAGAACCAAAAGCAATGGCCACTTTGTTAAAAAAAAAAAAAAAAGATATCAAGAAACGGGCTAGGAATATTTCACAATAGTGCAAATGATCGTGATAGATGAGCATTACTAATATTTTGATGCCAGAGCAACATTTGATGCCTGATTATGTCCACCCAGCCCACCCTTTGTCCTACAAACACACACACACCAACGAAAAGGACACTGTCTACCTAATGACCTCTGCCCATCCCACATCCGGCCCGCACAACCTTTTTT